GACAAGCGCAACCAAGTGACCTGGTAGAAGAAAAACGCTCAGAACGAGCGCTTCTAGCCTCAAAACGCGCTAGGATCCGCACATGTGGAGGAAGTGCAGTGGGCGCTCTTCATTCTCAAGGGCCGATGACCAATGGTGCTCGCAACCCTTCCACGCCCTTGCTGGCTTGGCAAGAAGCCTAGACAAGCGCAACCAAGTGACCTGGTAGAAGAAAAACGCTCAGAACGAGCGCTTCTAGCCTCAAAACGTGCTAGGATCCGCACATGTGGAGAAAGTGCAGCGGGCGCTCTTCATTCTCAAGGGCCGATGACCAATGATGCTCGCAACACTTCCACGCCCTTGCTGGCTTGGCAGGAGGCCTAGACAAGCACAGCCACGTGACTTGGTGGAAGAAAAACGCTCACTGTGAGCGCTTCTAGCCTCAAAACGCGCTAGGATCTGCACATGTGCAGGAAGTGCAGCGGGCGCTCTTCATTCTCAAGGGCCGATGACCAGTGATGCTCGCAACCCTTCCACGCCCTTGCTGGCTTGGCAAGTGGCCTAGACAAGCGTAGCCACGTGACCTGGTAGAAGAAAACGCTCACTGCGAGCGCTTCTAGCCTCAAAACGCGCTAGGATCCGCACATGTGGAGGAAGTGCAGCGGGCGCTCTTTATTCTCAAGGGCCGATGACCAATGGTGCTCGCAACCCTTCCACGCCCTTGCTGGCTTGGCAAGAGGCCTAGAAAAGCGCAGCCATGTGACTTGGTGGAAGAAAAACGCTCAGAACGAGCGCTTCTAGCCTCAAAACGTGCTAGGATACGCAGATGTGGAGGATGTGCAGTGGGCGCTCTTCATTCTCATGTGCCGAGGACCAATGATGCTCGCAACCCTTCCATGCCCTTGCTGGCTTAGCAAGAGGCCTAGACAAGCGCAGCCATGTGACTTGGTGGAAGAAAAACGCTCACTACGAGCGCTTCTAGCCTCAAAACGCGCCAGGATCCGCACATTTGGAGGAAGTGCAGCGGGCGCTCTTCATTCCAAGGGGCCGATGACCAATGATGCTCGCAACCCTTCCACGCCCTTGCTAGCTTGGCAAGAGGCCTAGACAAGCGCAGCCACGTGACCTGGTAGAAGAAAAACGCTCACTGCGAGCGCTTCTAGCCTCAAAACGCGCTAAGATCCGCACATGTGCAGGAAGTGCAGCGGACGCTCTTCATTCTCAAGGGCCGATGACCAATGATGCTCGCAACCCTTCCACGCCCTTTCTGGCTTGGCAAGAGGCCTAGAGAAGCGCAGCCACGTGACCTGGTAGAAGAAAAACGCTCAGAACGAGCGCTTCTAGCCTCAAAACGCGCTAGGATCCGCACATGTGCAGGAAGTGCAGAGGGCGCTCTTCATTCTCAAGGGCCGACTTCAACAACCTGATTGTTATTGCATATTTGAGTGGCCCACGTTCAAATACACCTATTAGAGCCTTCTCCGCTTGGTTCTCGCACAACGAAAAGTTCGGCGCCTATTATTGACCGTTTTTGCCGACATACGCTCAGAGAGCGCATAGATCCCTGTAAGCGTAGGGAAAAGCGTTCAACAACCTGAATGTTGTTGCATATTCCAGTAGCCCACGTTCAAATACACCTATTAAAGCCTTCTCGGCTTGGTTCTCGCGCAAAAAAAAAAAAAAATCGGCGCCTATGATTTCGATCGTTTTTGCCGACAAACGCTCAGAGAACGCATGGATCCTTATAGGCGTAGGGAAAAATTCAACAACCTGATTGTTATTGCATATTCGAGTGGCCCACGTTCAAATACACCTATTAGAGCCTTTTCGGCTTGGTTCTTGCGCAAAGAAAAGTTCGGCGCCTATGATTTCGGCCGTTTTTGCCGACATATGCCCAGATAGCGCATGGATCCCTATAGGCGTAGGGAAAAGCATTCAACAACCTGATTTTTATTGCATATTCGAGTGGCCCATATCCCTTCAAATGCACCTATTAGAGCCTTCTTCGCTTGGTTCTCGCACAAAGAAATGTTCGGCGCCTATGATTTCGGCCGTTTTTGTCGACAAACGCCTAGAGAGCGCATGGATCCCTATAGGCGTAGGGAAAAGCATTCAAAAACCTGATTGTTATTGCAAATTCGTGTGGCCCACGTTCAAATACACCAATTAGAGCCTTCTCGGCTTGGTTCTCGCGCAAAGAAAAGTTCGGCGCCTATAATTTCGACCGTATTTGCCGAGAAACGCGCAGAGAGCGCATGGATCCCTATAGGCGTAGGGAAAAGCATTCAACAACCTGATTGTTATTTCATATTCGAGTGGCCGACATACAAATACGCCAATTAGAGCCTTCTCGGCTTGGTTTTCGCGCAAAGAAAAGTTCGGCGCCTATGATTTCGGCCGTTTTTTCCAACAAACGCTCAGAGAGTGCATGAATGCCTATAGGCGTAGAGAAACGCGTTTACCAACCTGATTGTTATTGCATATTCGAATTGCCGACGTACAAATACACCATTTGGAGCCTTCTCGGCTTGGTTCTCGCGCAAAGAAAAGTTCGGCGCACATGATTTCGACCGTATTTGCCGACAAACGCACTGAGAGCGCATGGATCCATATAGGCGTAGGGAAAAACATTCAACAACCTGAATTTTATTGCATATTCAAGTGGCCAACGTACAAATACACCAATTAGAGCCTTCTCGGCTTGGTTCTCGCGCAAAGAAAAGTTCGGCGCCTATGATTTCGACCGTATTTGCCGACGAATACTCATAGAGCGCATAAATCTCTATAGGCGCAGGGAAAAGCATTCAACAACCTGATTTTTATTGCATATTCGAGTGGTCGACGTGCAAATACACCAATTAAAGCCTTTTCGGCTTGGTTTTCATGCAAAGGAAAGTTCGGCGCCTATGATTTCGGCCGTTTTTGCCGACAAACACTGAGAGAGCCTATGGATCCCTATAGGCGCAGGGAAAAGCATTTAACAACTTGAGTTCTATTGCATATTCGAGTGGCCCACGCTCAAATAAACCTATAAATGCCTTCTCAGCTTGGTTTTCGCGCAAAGAAAAGTTTGGCACCTATAATTTTGGCTGGTTTTGTCGATGAACGCTCAGAGAGCGCATGGATCCCTATAGGCGCAGAGAAAAGCATTCAAGAACCTGATTGTAATGAGTAACCAACAGACCCGTTACTTTTATCTGCGTGCTTAAGTTCTCATCATACACTGGATTTATATTTTTCCTCCTGCAATACGGAGATTTAAGTTCTTCATGCAGTTATTTTAAGCAGAAAAATAGAACATACGGTAAGACAGACATTTTATTATTTCAATACACTGAATTTCAACACCACCCTAGCTCAGGTTGTTGAGCGTGCTTCTCACTCAACGGAGTTCCCTAGGGCTTGATATCAGTTTCAACCTGGCCTATGCCACAACGCAACCTACTCGTCTGAATCCCTGTTGTTCCTCTCCCGAACCGCGGAAATTCGTGAGTCCATGAATGCTTATTTGCGTCTTGCCCCGACTGTGTGTTTCTCTATTATGTTCGCGGAGTTACGTTAGTCAATGCGATCGCGTAATCGCGATCTCAACGATCCGCCGCGTCGCGACTCGCCATGGCGGGCTCTCGCTCCTCCCAGCGATCCACCGTCTCCTCCCGCTCCACCACCCCCCACGCCGCATCTTCCGGCACAAATTCCGGCGCCAACTTCGGCGGATCCTCCGCTTCCGCGTCCCCCTCCCTCCTCTCCCGCGCGTTTCCCGCGTTGGCCGCGTCGGTTCTCGCGCTAACGGCCGTCGTGTTCGCTTTCACCTACTCGAGGCCGTCGCTAGGGCGATGCGACTTACTCCAGCTGCAGCTGCTGGGGCGAAAGGTGAGGTCTCGGTCAGGCCTTTGAGTCAACTCTTGGGTTGACTCAACAGTCACCTCGTCGTGTTCGCGATCACCTACTCGAGGCCGTCGCTTGGGCGATGCGACTTACTCCAGCTGCAGCTCATGGGACGAAAGGTAAGTTGAGTCGACTCACTAGATGGCTTTAGGTCGGCTTACTAGAAGGTTGGCTTTCCCTTTCCTCGTTGGTAAGGTTTTACTAGATGGCTTTTACGAAAGGTCTCAGTTGCTGCATGTTCCGTGCGAGGTGACATTTGAGTCGACGACTGAATGGACACCTGACATGGCATTAGAGTTGACATTTGAATTAACCTTAGATTTGACCATTAATGATACTTCGTGCTGCATGTTCTGACTGAGCCGGGCAGGGAAGGCACTGAAACCTTCTACTCTGTGCGTATTTTGTTTGTTTGCTGTATTTGCTTGTTATTATACGCTGCAGCAGGGAGACGACCTGGGGAAGCACCTGAAAGTGCTGGAGAAGCAGGTAGGTTGAACAAGTGCATGGATTGGATGAATGGCTGGGTTGGGGTAGGGTAGGGTGGGATGCGGTGGGGTGGGGTAGTTGGGGAGAGTGGGTGGGTGAGGTAATGCGCTGTTCGTGTGTCCTGCTCCTGCCGCTGCCTCCCTCCCTTCCCCGTTGCTCCTCGTTCTGCCCCTCGTTTTGCTTCTGCGCCCCCCTCTGCCTCTGCCCCTGCATCTTTCTTCTTCCTCCTCCTCCTTCTCCTCTGTCGCTCCCGCTGCCTCTGTCTCTCCTCTCCCCCCCACTTTCCCTATCTCACTCTCATCCCTCTCCCTCTCCCCTTCCCTCCCCCACTCGCTTCCCTCTCCCCCTCCTCTCCCCCTCCCCATCCCTCCAGATGAATTACAACAAAAAACTCGTGGGAGCACTACAGGCATCTCTCGCCAAGTTGACTGTGAGTGTGTGGAGTCGGTGTGGAGTGAGTGTGTGGAGTGTGTGTGCGTGGTCTGTGTGTGTGTGCAATGTGGGAGGAGCAAGTGAATCAGTAAGCTGATGTGAGAGCGGCTACAGGAACCTGGTGTGAATCCCAGCAGGATACTCACTGGTGTCTCTCATCTCATTCGTGTGTGTCAAGTCAACCATTCGCTTTCCTCTTCCCCATTCCCATTATGCTATTTGTGCCCTTGTCCCATTACCCCCCCTCCCCCCACCCCATTCCCACCTCCCTCCTTTACTCTCCATTGCATCTATTGTATCTCCTATCCTGTTCCCCCATTTCGTCCCTCTCCCTTTCCGTACTCCTCCTCCCCTCCACTTCTCCCTTTTCTCTCCTTCTCCCTCTTTTTCTCCCCCTTTTCTTGGTTCGATTTCCCTCGTTCTTTGTGGATTCTCTTTCCCGTGTGCAGGCTGCTGACTCAGCAGCGGCGGCCGAGGCGGACGCGTCAGCGCCTGCTGACGTGGCAATCCCTGGGAACGCCAGCACACGCCAGCTGGTCGAGCTGGCAGCGCGACAGGTGGCGGATGAAGTCCGGGCATCAATGGAGGAAACGGTGAGTTTCTTTTCCCAACAGATACAGATCAGTACGTGAGGGAGGTTCACTGTTGGAATGTTTACTGTTCACGCTTCATAGTGCCACCGCGAGTTTGCTCTTGAATGCCCAAACCAAACTTGATATGCTTACGACTGTGTGTGCGGGTGGCGGATGATTTTTGAGGCGCCTCAAAAAGAGTTTGCTCTTGAATGCGCAAACTTGATATCTCTACGACTGTGCGGCAGATGAACTCCGGCCATCAATGGAGGAGACTGTGAGGTGCTCATTTCACGGATTTAAATTTGAAATTTACTGTTCCGGCTTCGAAGTGCCACCTTAAGCTTGTTCTGCCTGCCTGCCTGCCTGCCTCCTGCCTGCCTGCCTGCCTGCCTGCCTGCCTGCCTGCCTGCCTGCCTGCCTGCCTGCCTGCCTGCCTGCCTGCCTGCCTGCCTGCCTGTTTGTCTTTCTGCCTGCCCCACATGCTGGGCTCCACCCCCCTCAACCCCACAGGACCTTGCGCGTTTGCGCGATGTCATTGGAGCCACAGTGCGCAGAACAGGCAAGTGGACCGCCGCCCCACATGCCCCACCCCGTCCACCTTCTCCCCCCTTCACACCCCATCTGCTAAACCCCACAGGGCCTTGCCCGTCTGAGAGACGTCATTGGAGCCACAGTGCGCAGAACGGGCAAGTGGACCGCCGCCCATGCCTCCCTCCGTGCCAGGCGCCTCATTTTCTGTCTGACTACCCCTCCCAACCCCACAGGACCTTGCCCGTTTGAGGGATGTCATTGGAGCTACAGTGCGCAGAACAGGCAAGTGGACTGCCGCCCTTGCTGCCCGCTCCTGCCCGCAATGCCCTGACTGCTCGCTCACTCCGCCGTCCACAATCGGGCCGGTCTGCACTGCACCGGGATTCGTCAACTGCAGCTGCCCGAGCGGGCAGTCGGGCAGGCGAAAGTTTCCGAAGCGGACCGAGAAGCCGCTGTGCACGGACGGCGCGTCGCCTGGCAGGTGGAAAAGCTACAGCCAATGGGAGGCCGACAACTGTCAGTACAGAGAGATTTCGACAGATAGCCTTAGGGAATGCCTCAAGGGGAAATGGATACATTTTTTCGGAGACTCGCTGTCGCGGCTACTGGCGAATGAATTTGCGCGGCAGTGTGGGATGCAGCGCCGGTCATGGGATGGTGACAAGGCTAGAAGCACGTTGCTGGATACCCGGGCTGATCAACAGGTGGCAGAAGGTGGGAAGGGTGGTGGTGGGGGGAGGAGGAGGAGACTGGCGGGTGGTGTGATGCTAGAGGGAAGAGGAGGAAGAGGAGGCGGAGGGGGAGGAGGGGCGGTTGATGCTGGTTGGTTGAATGGGGGGGCAAGTGCGGGGGAGAGAGCAGCAGATGGGGACTGGGATGGAATGGAGGGAGGGGAGATGGAGGAGTGGGAGGTCCCTCAGGATTTGAGAAGTGAAGGAGAGGAGGAGAGTGTGGGTGAGAGGGTGGGTGAGAGAGTGGGTGAGAGTGTGGGGGAGGACGGGAAGAGCAGGAGGGTGGGTGGCAGGAGGCGGTTGCTTATGTCGCGAGGCGAGTGGCCGCGAGTGACTTATCTGTTCCGAGGGAAGATGGCTCACCAGAGGCATCCTGAGGTGGGTGGATGGTGGAGCAGTGCGTTCGTGCATGTATACCTCTCCACCCCTGTCGACCCCTCTTCACCCCTCTTCACCCCTCTCCACCCCTCTCCAACCCCTCTTCACATATTCACTCCTCTTCACTCCTCGTCACCTCTCTTCACTCCTCCTACAGGAGAACGCTACAGAGGAGCGCGATCTAAACAACAAGTTCCTGGAGGACCTCCATAGCTAGTCTCTCTCCACCTCTCTCAACCCCACCTCACCGCGCTCCACCACTTGTCACCCGTACAGGAGAACGCCACAGAGGGTTGCGATCTGAACAAGTTCCTGGAGTCGTTCAGGCAGCCAGGGGGGCAGCAGCCTTACTTCTAACACCTCTTCTCCTATTCACCCCTCTTCACCCCTCTTCGCCCCTCTTCACCACCTTTCACTCCTTTTACAGGAGAACGCCACAGAGGAGCGGGATCTGAACAACAAGTTCCTGGAGTCGTTCAAGCAACCAGGGGGGCAGCAGCCTGACTTCCTCATCATGAGCATTGGAGCGCACGAGGTGAGGCATGGCATGGCATGGCATGGCAGGGTGGGATGGAGGTTGGGACAGCAACCAGGGGGGCAGCAGCCTGACTTCCTCATCATGAGCATTGGGGTGCACGAGGTGAGGCATGGGCATGGGGACATGATGTGAGGCACATGGGGCGCACGAGGTGAGGCATGGGCGTGGGGACATGATGTGAGGCACATGGGGCGCACGAGGTGAGGCATGGGCGTGGGGACATGATGTGAGGCACATGGGGCGCACGAGGTGAGGTGATGGGGTGGAATCGTCGCCCACTACCAGACCTGGATGTAGCCACGTTCAAGAAGGACAAGAAGAGCTGCTGCAGCTGATCGTCACCCCCTTCCTGCTCCCGCCCGCCACCCTCACCACTGGTCATAGGGTGGAACTGCCGCCCCCCACCCGACCTGGATGTACCCACATTCAAGAAGGACACAGAAGAGCTGCTGCAGCTGCTGCGAGGGAGGTACAGCTACCTCTTGTACAGCTAGGCATCACCTTGTTACCCCCTCTCCTGCGATCTCCTCCTTCCTCACCTCAGGTGATTGGGTGGAACCGCCGTCCCCCGCCAGACTTGGATGTAGCCACGTTCAAGAAGGACAAAGAAGAGCTGCTACAGCTGCTACAGCTAATCATCCACACCCTTGATACATACCCTTCACTTCTCCTGCTTGATCACAGGTGATTGGGTGGAATCGCCGCCCCCCGCCAGACCTGGATGTAGCCACGTTCAAGAAAGACATGGAGGAGCTGCTACAGCTGCTGAGGGGGAGCTACAACCGGGAGAAAGGCATGCTGCTGTGGTGGAAGGCGCACTACATCTGGCCAGGTGAGGGATTATGTTAGATGTGTTTCAAAACTTGCTACAGCTGCTGAGGGGGAGCTACAACCGGGTTAAATCATTGGTGCAGCACCTCTTTGCACCCTTTTGCACCTCTTTTGCAGAATTACTAAATGTTATGCGCCTGATCCTGTGAATTCCCCTCCCTCTCTCTAACCCTGCTTTCGGTTCTCCTCACACTTCCACTATGAACAGGCAAGGTTACCGGGCAGGACTATTTCACAGTACGGCAATATCATGAAATATATCAAGCTTACGCATACAGAAGATTTCAAGAGGAAGGTTACACTACTGCGGATTTCTATCAGACCACGGAAGATCGGCCAGAGCTTATATGGAAGCCGGATGGAGTACACTACGGCTCTGAAGCTTTGGCTGTACACTCCAAGATTTTAGCTAATATATTGTGCAATAGAAAATAGATCTGGCAACATCTAGCATGAGTTCGTGTTCGTGCCATTAATCTCGCTAAAGCTAAAAGCAGTTTTTTGCACTAGGTTTTGCACTAATTGTACACCAAGCCAAAGCCGGTACATAGCATACATGAGGAAATTGAAATGAAAGCATCCAACAAAGCAAAACATCCAGGCCTTATAGTTAGGGCACATTCCATGCTGGACATGTCCCAATCGAGTGTGTCTCAATCGTTTCTACCGCACTGCATCGTATTACACCAAATTACACCCTAGTTTCGAAAATTTCGCGTCTCTGGTTTAGTTCGTTCGGAGCGGTACACTCGATTGGGACACATCGATTGGGACATGTGTCCACAGCGGAATGTACCCTTAGACATCCCAAAACTGTGACGGAACCTTCAGAGCAATCTATACACTGAATACAAACACAATAGGAAGCCGACACAATACACAGTTTGACTCGCCCTTTTTTATTTTCAATGTGTGAAAATTTGTAGCCATAGCCCATCAAACTGTGTAGCCATGCATGGTCCACCAACCAAACAGGTCCCTTCCCTGGCGCTGACAAGAGTTCTCAAGTCAATTCAACACTCATCTCCTCTCGTCCCAAACCCAAACCTCATCTCCTCTGGTGCTGAAAGTTATGCAACCGCCGGCCGACCAAATACCGATCATCCCGAATGGCATCATGCAACGATGCGAGCCAGTCGCACACCCGCCGCCACACCCTCGCTGTCCCCACCACTCCCAGCGCGGTGATCCACGCGAATCGAAACGCAGCTGATTCGAGCACGGGGGGCAGGCGGAGCAACGGGAGAGCTGCGCGGACTGCTAAGAAGGGCGCGGTGAGTCCTGTGAGGAGGAAGAGGAGGACGGGGGCGATGATTTCCAGGAAGGTGCGGCGCGCGTTGAGGTGGCGAAGGCCGTCTTGTTGCAGGCGGAGAAAGCGGGCCCGCCACTCGTGGTTGGCTAATAAGTGGTTCTGTGCGGTGACCTGCGGTGCAAGGAGGGTGGTGATGGGGAGTGAGTTATGCAGGCGGAGGAAGCGAGCATGCCACTCATGCTTGGGTAGTAAGTGGTTCTGTGTGGTACGAATGGGAGTAAGAACGAATGCATCGATGGGGGGATTAGTGTATGCATGGAAGGGGCATGCATGGGCGCACTCACCACTCTGGCCCAGAGCTTGAGCAGAATGAGCCCAAGAGCCTCATTTATGGTAGAGAGAGAGGAGAGAGCTAGGGATGACGGGATGACAGACGCACAGACACACACGCTGATGGGAGCATGGACAAATGCATGGGCGCACTCACCACTCTGGCTCAGAGCTTGAGCAGAATGAGCCCGAGAGCCCAGTCGTGGTAGAGCGAGTGCAGCAGAGGATGAGGGGAACACAGACACAGCAGATGGACGTATGGCACGCATGGATGGGATGGGCGCATGGATGAGCGCACTCACCACTCTGGCCCAGAGCTTGAGCAGAATGAGCCCGAGAGCCCAGTCGTGGTAGAGAGAGAGCAGCGGTGACTCGTTGATGGGCACTCGGATGGGCATGATCACTGCCAGGTCGACCAGGAGACCCGCTAGAATAGGCGCTACTACCAGCTGTGGGTGGGGGAAAACGACAAGGGAGAGAAAGTGGAAAGCCAAGGAAAAGGGAAGGCGAGGGGAGGACGTGAGCAGAGGGGACTCGTTGATGGGCACTCGGATGGGCATGATGACTGCTAGGTCGACCAGCAAGCCTGCTAGGATAGGCGCTACTACCAGCTGAAGAATAATGGGGGGGGATGGAAGCCAAGTGCATGCAAGACAGGGGAGATAGCAGCGGTGAAGGGAGAAAGGAGAGGGGATTTGTTGATGGGCACTCGAATGGGCATGATGACTGCTAGGTCTACCAGCAGACCTGCTAAAATTGGTGCTACTACCAGCTGAAGAATAATGGGGGTTTGCAAAGGGTGGATAGAAAGAAAGAGGGAGAAAGGAGTAAACATCAAGGGGCAGTTACTGCAATGGGGAAGCTATTGAGAAGAAAAGCAAGCATGGAGCATAGTAACGGGGGAAGAGGCAGAGATGACATTTGAGTCGACTAGAAGCAACAGAGTGATTAAATCCAAAGCAGAGAATTCGTTTGAAATTGGTTTTGCACGCGCGCACTCACCCACAGCAGCAGCAGCACAGCCGCTTTCAATGCCACAGCAGCCCAGTGCACGAGAGGCAGCAGCAGCGTCCGCATGTTGTTACGCGGTAACCGCAAGACAGCTGCTCGCATGGCTGCTATGGACCCCCAGATGAGGTAGGCTCCGATGCCGAATGAATAGAGGTCTGGATGGGTGGAGAGGGGTACAAGGGAGTGATGTGGGTGAGCGAGGTGCAGTGTGGGATAGGGATCTGGCAAGGGCTGCTCACGTGACAGCTATGGGTCCCCATACAAGGTACGCTCCGATGCCAAAGGAATAGAGGTTCGGATGGGACAGATAAGAGATGTGGTTGGATGGGGATGGGTATGGCAAGGAGCGTCTCACGGTCTCACCATTGCAGGGAGCGTCGTCAGCAGCACTGGGGAGAAGGGAGGCGGAGAGCCGAAAGGCTCCTCGCCCCACAGCCGTGGGCAGCAGCACCACAGCCGTGTTGAACACTGCTAGGGATGCCCATGCTGCCACCAGCAGCGCCACTATCCGCAGCCGGAAATGCTCGTCCTCCTTCTTGCCCCCACTCCCCCCGCTGCCGCTGCCGCCAGCACTCTCGCTGACAATCTCACTACTGCTGCCAGCGCTACCATCTGTGATGCTTCTGCTGCTGCTGCTGCTGCTGCTGCTGCTGCCACTACCGCTGCCAACCTCCCTAATGCTGCCGCTGCCAACCTCCCTAAGGCTGTCACTGCTGCCGCTTCTCCCGCTATTTCCTCTATCTTTGTAACTGGAATCTGCAATATTGGCAACAACATCCCTGTCCTTACCCCGTTCTCTCTCTCCCTCTTCTCTTCGCGTCTCCTCCCTCTCCCCCCTGTCCTCCTCCACTGCCTTCCCCTTCCCCCTTAATCTCTCCACCTCCCCTCTCTTCAACAATTCCTTCCCTTCTTCCTCTTCCTCTTCTTCCTCTTCCTCCCCCTCCTCCCCCTCTTCCTCCACCTCTCCAACCCTTTTATGTGAACCAACCCCAACTAACCCAGCTGCTCTCACAGCAATCGTACCACGCGAGGGTGCTGCTGCTGCTCTCGCCATGGCTGCCGCTGCTGCCTTCTCCGCAGCAACTATTCTCTCAACAAACCGGCTGTCCACAGTAGTATCAGCAGGGGCAGAAGCATCAACAGGAGCAGTGGCATTAACAGTAGCAGTAGCATGGGACGCTGCTGGAAAAAGAGAGGCCTCAGGTGCAGCAGGGGTGAAAGGGGGTTGGATGGCAAGAGGCGGGGGAGGGGGAGGAGGAGGAGCAGAAGGGTGGAAAGCAACAGGAGGGGGAGGAGGGCGAAAGGCTATGGGAGGCGGAGGAGGAGGAGCAGCAGCAACACCAGCAGCAGCAGCAGCAGCAGGAGGAGGAGGGGGAGGAGCAGCAGCAGCACCACCAGCGGCACCACCAGCACCAGCACCAGCACCAGCACCAGCAGCAGCAGCAGCAGCAGCAGCAGCGGGGGCGGGAGGGGGCGGGAGCAGGAAGGGTTGCAACATGAGCAGGCGGGCAGCAGCGCGGAACCAGAGGGAGAGCGCGGCCTTGATGGTGGCCCGCGGGCGCAGGCGGTCGATTGCAAAGGGGATGCACACGTGAAACAAGAGCATGTCTAGTGGGATCTCCATCAATGGGTCGGAGAACCTGGAGGGATGGGAAGGTTGGTGAGAGAACAGGCGCGATTGGGAGGGGAAGGGCAGGATGAGAAACGCTGATTCTCAGCATTGGAAACCCTAGAGGGGGAGAGAAGAGGTGCAGCATGGGCACGAAACCAGAGGGAGAGCGCGGCCTTGATGGTGGCCCGCGGGCGCAGGCGGTCGATGGCAAAGGGGATGCACACGTGAAACAAGAGCATGTCTAGAGGTATCTCCATCAATGAATCGGAGAACCTGCAAGGGGTGAAGTGATGGGAGACATGCATGTGTGACTGAGAGGGCGCGGGGTTGCAGGCGGTCGATGGCAAAGGGGATGCAGACGTGGAAGAGCAGCATGTCTAATGGAATCTCCATCAATGGGTCGGAGAACAGGGGGGTGGGATGAAAGAAATCGGCGCATGTAAAAAATAGAAACAGGGTGAGGCATGAGATGGAGGATTTTTGAGGCGCCTCAGATGTTGAGGCGATTTTTTAGGCGCCTCAAAATTTGAGGCGATTTTTGAGGCGCCTCAAAAAAGGTTAGAAATAGGGTGAGGCATGAGATGGAGGAAGAGATGGAGGAAGAAGAGTCTAGATACCCACCTGTAGTTGAAGGGGAACATGCTGGGAGCGATGGCGATGGCTGCTCGCACGGGCAGGAAGAGCAGCAGCACCACGAGCGCGCCGTAGGCAAAGAGGGAGAGCACGATGCGGCGCGCGTGCTTGGGAATGGGATCCTCAACCAGGTCCCTGAATGGGTTGAAGTTTGGATCGGTGGGGTCCCGCAGGAAAGAGAGGACGCCTGGTCGCAGAATCTGGGCAGGCGCGACAACAGGGGAGAAAAAAGGGATAAGACACGTGCTTGGGAATGGGATCCTCAACCAGGTCCCTGAACGGGTTGAAGTTTGGGTCCGTGGGGTCCCGGAGGAAAGAGAGGACTCCTGGCCGCAGGATCTGGGGCATGTGGAGGGAAGAGCGGAGGGCGACATGACAGGGAGGGAGCGTGCTTGGGAATGGGGTCCTCGACCAGGTCTCTGAACGGATAAAAGTTGGGGTCCGTGGGGTCCCGTAGGAAGGACAGGACGCCTGGGCGCAGGATCTGAGGCAGTGGGGTAAACAGTGGGAGAGACAGGGGAGAAGAAAGTGGGAGGGGGAAAGGGAGAAGGTACGTTCTAGAGAATCGGGTCCTCCACACCACAAGAACAGAGAGCGCTGTTTACAGGTTCTGCTCAGGTTCTGTTTGCAAGGGAACAAGCATACCTCTCTCAAGATAGTGACGAGCAGGCTGACTTGCAGCATGTAGAGGATCCCCACGAACCAGTGCAGGAAGCAGCACAGCAGCGCAGCGGGTGGGTATGCCAGCGGCACATGCTTGGCACCTCCCCCACTGGTAACCAGCTAACCCACTTGTAACGTACGTACCTCTCTGAGAATGGTGACGAGCAGGCTGACTTGCAGCATGTACAGAATCCCCACGAACCAGTGCAGGAAGCAGCACAGCAGCGGGTGCGCCAGCAGCAGTGCGAGGCGGTCCGAGGGGGAGGCGCCGAAGAGGGAGAGCGAGCAAAAGTCGATCCACCAGCCGCAGAGGAACGGGAAAGCGCCCAGCTCGACTGACAAGAGACTGGTGACCTTGAGAACCACTAGCCCGTGCCTGATAGGGATAAGAATGGATAAGGGAGAGAGGAAGAGATACAGATGGGTGATGAGGCACAGAAGGGGCAAAGCGAGCAGAAGTCGATCTATCTGCCATCCCTTGGTGGAGGTACTTACCTGACAGCACAGCACAGCACAGCACCGCACCGCACCGCACGGCACCCAGCCAGTACCCACCTGACAGCCGCCACGAGGTGCTCCTGAATCGCCGGCGCCACCTGCAGCAGGGCGAGTAGCGTGGCGGGCAGAGCCCCAACCAGCGGCAACCCCCTGGCTCTCCTCAACTGAATCGCAACCAGCACATGCACGGCACAGCAAAACGCCACCACTTCATAGCCCACGAGCAGAGAGACTAGATTCCCCGCTGCGAGCCCGTGGCCTGCTTCGGCCCAGCGCAGGCCCAGCAGCGTGCAGCACCACTGCGAGTACAGCGCTGCTGCCAGCACGAGCTGGTGGGACAGGGACGAGAGGTGCGCCGTGGTGATTTGGAGGAGATGTGCGAGGAGGGCTGTGGTGGTGCTGCTGCTGCTGCTGCTGCTGCTGCTGCTGCTGCTGCTGCTGCTGCTGCTGCTGGTGCTGGTGGTGGTGGTGGTGGTGGTGCTGCTGCTGTTGCTGCTGTTGCTGCTGGTAACGCTGTAATTGCTGCTGGGAGGAATGGAGCCGCTGCTGCTGCTCTCCCCACTGTACACCATCCCATGCTTCCCCACAGCCCCACTCCCATGCCCACTCTCACGCCCACTCCCATGCCCACCCTCCGCCTCTGCTGTTCCCACACGCTCATCCTCGCTCCCTTTTCTTCTCACCTCTCCTCTCCACTCCCCTCTCCTCTCTCCTCTCCGCTTCCCACTCCGCCTCTTCCCTCTCCTGCCCTGCAGCTGTAGGAACGACTTAGACCCACGCAGAAAGCGAGGACGAAGGTTTGATTTCCACGCACACTCACTCTCCCCTCCTGTCACACAGCTGTACACCCCCTTATAGTCACTCTTGTGCTCATGCTCCCCACTGAACACACCCCGAGACCAACCCCCGGTCTCATACGCACACACAGGAAGCTCGTCTAAGAAAGCAGGCCGAGAGGAAACCGGGCAGAAGCCCCAGTGCGCAAACGGTACCGAGGAGTTGAGATAGGTTGGGTAGATTGGGGGGATGCAGGAAGGGGTGGAGAGCGGTGGAGGGGTGGGGAGGGGGAGCGTGGGGGGCCCGAGGAGGAGGGAGTAGATGGGGACGAGAGAGATGGTGGAGGCGGGGGAGAGGAAGAGGAAGGAGAAGAGGGCAATGTATAGACGACCGAGGTTGAATGGGAGGAAGAATGCCAGTACGAGCACAAAGAAATTGCTGCAGAGCACCTGAGAGGGGGCGATAGGGTGGAGAGGAGGGAGGGGTGGAGAGGAGTTAGGGATAATTAGGGGAGAATAAAAAGTGGGCATGGTTGAACGGGAGGGAGAATGCGAATACGAGCACAAAGAAACTGCTGCAGAGCACCTGAAGGAAAAAGGGAGAAAAAGGGGGAGGGGGAGGGGGAGGGGAGGGCGGGTAGGGGGTGGGGAGGGGTTGCAGGCAGCATGCAGCATTCAGAGCACTCACTCACCGTGGTGGCGTTTTCAAAGAGGCGCCACAGCGGCCCCTGCAATCCGATCAGTTCCTCAAACCCTAGATCGTCCATGGGCTCTCCATCCTCGTCCATCTCCCCCTCCCCCATGCCCCCCTCCGCCTCCTCAAAATCATCCTCCTCTTCCTCCTCCTCCTCTTCCTCCTCCTCCTCTTCCTCCTCCTCCTCTTCCTCATACTCGTAATCATCATCATCCTGAAAGCTCCCAGTCTCCTCTTCCTCTTCCTCACTCCCCTCCTCCCCACTGCCCCCCTCCTCCTCACTCACTTCACTGCTCCCTTCTCTAAATTCCTCATCGCCATGTATCTCATTCCCCCACAGGCTCCCCCTTTGCGCGGGTGAAACAGCGCCACTTCCGCTCCCCCCATTCCCCCACGCCTGGGCGGATAAATTCGCGCCCTCTCCGCCCGTCTCATCCCCCCACAACCTCTCCTGCCCCCTCCTCCCCTCCTCATGCTCCCCTCCCTCCCCCACCCCCCCTGCTGCTGTATCCTCTTCCCTCTCCACCCCTTTCCCCTTCTCACGGCCGTCAGTGCCTCTCCCCTCTGCTTCCTCTGTACATACTCTTTCCTCTCTTCTCCCTAATCCTTTCGTCCCCTCTCCGACTCTCAACCTCCCCACCTCTCCACCCTCTCTCCGAGCTTCTCCCCCCCCCTCTCCCACACCCACTTCCCCGTCACTTCCCCCCACTTCCGCCCCGATCTCACCACCTCCCCCACCATCCCCCTCTTCCCCGCGGCCTCCGTCCTCCGTTCCGCCTTCCTTCCCCGCACTCTTTCCCCCAGCCCCAGCCACAGTATCAGCAGGCGGCTTATGAAACGTCTCAAAAGCACTCTTTCCCCCCGCCCCAGACACGGTAGCATCAGAACCTGCTGCTACCGCATAGCCACCTTCCGCTGCTCCTTCCCTCTCTTCCCCTTCCCTCCCTATCCCTCCTCCCTCCGCTTCTCCCGCCGCTCCTTCCTCTGCTCCTACTCCTGCCGCTTTCACCGCCCCTTGCCCCTCTGCGCCTTCCCTCCCGAAATCTCCTATTTCCCGATCGTCCCTCCTGCTATTCCTGCCTCGCTCGTCCACCTGTCCGGTTACCATTTGCCCCGCTTCTCCAGCCACCTGCCCGGTTACCATTTGCCTCGCCTCTCCAGGCGGGCGAAAGTAAAACCTCGCCGGCGGACGGATCTCTTGGGCGGACGGATTCGCACCAAACACGAACGGCTGGCCGTCCGTCGCAGGGCCAGTCGCAGGGCCTGTCGCAGAGCCACCTGCAGGGTCGCTGAACGAAAACGGTCGCCCAGACGAACCTGCGGGAATAGGATTCCCCAAGGGGGGGACAACAGGGGGAGGAGGAGGGGGAATCGCGCGCGGAGGGGGGGGTGGCGGCGGTTCTACGCCCCCCCTTCCCGCCTCTCCATTTTGTATTATTCGAGCAGCGTCCCGTAGGTTTTGTTGTAACGGGGGGGGAGGGGGTGGGGGGGGCTGGTGCTGGTGCTGCTGGTGCCGGTGCTGCTGGTGGCGCTGGTGCTGGTGGTGCTGGTGATGGTGGTGGTGCTGGTGCTGATGCTGATGCTCGTGGTGGTGGTGATGGTGGTGGTGATGGTGATGGTGATGCCGTCTCTGCTGCTGCCCCCCCTGCTGCACCTGCCCCTGCTGCCCCAGCAGCTGCCCCCGCGCCTGCGCCACAAGCGCTCCCCCTTCCACCTCCGCCTCCGCCCCTTCCCCCTCCCCCGCGCCCGCCACCCCCACATCAAACCCCTCCTCCCCTTCCATCTGCTGCTCTAACAGCTGCGCTAGATACTCCCTCAGAGACGACAAACTCAGAAAAAACAAAATCACCGCCGCGGACAGCACGCTACCCAGCACGCAGTCTTGGAAAACCGCGCCGCCCGTGAGCCTCTCGCGGAAGAGCGCGCCGATGCGCGTCCAGTCGCGGAGGAAGCAGAGGTGCCAGATGGAGCTCGTGAGGAACGGCACGAGCAGCAGCCACACGAACGCGATGAGCGCGGCGCGCAGCACGAACGACACGGCGCGCCCCGCCATCAGCGCCGCGCCCGCGAGGAACTCGTTGGGGGGCAGGCGCGACGGCGCGTTCGGCGCGTAAATGGGGGAGAAGATGAACGCGCGCTTGCATACCTGGATGGGGGAAACGGGGAGCGCGCAACGAACAGCGAGCGGAAGGAGACGGATGGTGACTTACGGAAAGGAAGCGGTCGTGGAGACGGACGGTGAAAGATGGTGGCTTTCGCGTGTACGGAGAACTTGCCAGGTGTACGGCTGTAGGGAATTTGTCGCGTGGGAGAAAACGGGGAACTTGCCACGTGCACGCAAGAAGAAAGCTCCCCACGCCTTCGGGAAGAGGAAGCTTGCGAAGTAAATGACAGCATACACGTCAGGACGGCAAGCTTTAAGAACACCGCAAACGCTCGGACAAATAGCTTCACGAAGGAACGCAGAGGGATACGGACGCGATTGCCGTGAAAGTGGGACGCGACAAACGAGGCCCCTCAAAAGTCGTCTTTTCAGGCGACGCAGAGGACAGAGAGGCAATTGCCATCAGAGTAAGACATTTAGCGAATAAGGACCATGAAACTCTTTTAGGAGGGAGAAGGAGAAAGAAAGGGCGGTGTGATGCCGACGCGATGTTATTTACAAGAAACTCAGGACCTTGAGAAGAACCAAGCAAGAGACTTTTGAGTCGACTCGAAAGTCAACTAGGTTGCACGAAAATGAAGCACACTCAGGTCACGAACACAGGCGGTTCACCATACAACCGCGTCAGTGTCAAGGTTTGCGAGCGAGCGCGAATCTCGCAGTGCGTCCCGTTCTTGCGCGACAGATTTGAGACACAGCAAAGAAGGAACAACGCAAGCTGCGATGCTACAAGGCTGCGAAGCTGCAACTTTCGCGAGGCTACAAGCTGCGAGAGCTAACGAACCTCGCAGTGCGTTTTGTTGCTGTGGTGTAGCCATTGCAGCAAGCAGCCCTGATGCACGAACTTGATGCTCCCGCTACAAGCACACGGGTGGTACAGCGGATCCCCCTCCGCTGCTGGCGCACGGCAAATCCTACACACGTCCTCCTCCTCCTCCTTCATGGCTGGATAACGTTACAGATAATCCCTGATCGGCGTCATACGGATCGTTCAAACTATTTAACTATTTCTGTAACGAAGGCTACATGGACTTTGCTCCTGAAGCGCGGACTGGCAGAACAGAACTTGAGTCTGCGAAAACCAGGTGGGGCTAGAACTAATGCGGAAAACAGGAAAAGGGTAAAAGCTGATCGAAGGCAGACGGCAGATGATTCAAACGATATTAGGAAAGCGAGGTGAATAGAACGCCAAAGCTTCTAAAAAAGACGAACCCTAGATTCAGAACTGAGCAGAAGCATGAACCTACCTCATCTGGGTTCACAAGGCAACCAACCCTAGATTCGAATCTGAGCGGAAGAGGAGGGCGAGGAGGACGGAGAGTGGAGGGGAGCAGCCATAACTTGGCGATTTCATTGGTGTCACGCTACGGTAACATCTCGTTGAGCTCGCAAAACACCTGAACATTGGTCCAAATGAGCTGGTAACGAGCTGCTGCGACACCCCTTGTTACCGTGCTGCAAAAATTTATATACTGTACAGTTATTCTTCATCTTACCTTAGGTTCTGACACCAAGCTGAGTGGCGGGAAAGCAACGCTTGTACATGTGATTTTGGCAAAGGATATTCTAGAAACGAGGAGAAGAGTGGAAACGTGGCATATGGTCACGCAGGATCCTTATCCATTCGCGACAAAAGCAACACTTTCCACGTTCGCGAGCGCCAGCTGACCTGGACATCGTCCAGTCGTGCCAAACAATTTCCTAGCCTCGTAACCATCGTCGGGTGTCGCAAATCTCGTCCACCTGAAAAAGAATGACGCTGCGGTTACCACGTGCCGCCAAGCATCAACCATAAACAAGGCCAGAGTAATAGCGGTTCTAACAAGCCACCGTTTTGAAACATGACAAACCATATCAAACCATGTCAGAAAACTTGAAACCAAACCCAAGGCACATCCACAAACGGTGGCGATAAGTTTCGCAGCTTTCAGCGCTATTCTCTCGCGAGCTCTCGCCGTCTGCGAAAATACTACCTTTCTCTCGATGATATCTACACTTCGGCCATAATTTCAATACCCGCCTGAAGCTGCCTAATAGCTTGTAGTACTTGCCTTGTGGATCAGCTACGGCTGACCATCAGGGGAAGCTTGTAAGAGTAGCTGGTCAGGTCGGGATTTCTGCTGTAGCTGCTGTAATTACCAGCTATCATGGCGGCGACGTTAATCTGTCCAGCCATGGCTGCGGTAACACCCAAGGCGCAGCAGCCAATGACGCACCAACCAGCTACTCCGAGAATCGCCAGACTACCAATGTGCTTACCGCAGCCAATCGCGCTTAACGGCAAGATACCTATGCACCACCATCATCAACATTCATATTTCGCCACGTCTCCAGATCGCACACCGGCAGTGTTCGCTTCACGAAGCCGCGTACCTGCCGTCAGACGACAGCCGTTGATCGCAAGAGCGCAATCCGACGGTTCCGATGCACCATCAACCCAGACGCCTCCGCCGGCAACCCCACCGCCGGCAACTTTCAAGTCGTCACAAACCTCCCAGCCGTCAACTTCGCAACCGGCCGGCACGCTGGAGCTTGTCGGCGAGGACGCCGCCGTCTTCAGCATTGACGACCAGAAAACCTCCTCCTGGGCGGCGTTTTTTGGCGTATTAACCGTCGTAATGACGGCGCTGTACGTGATCTGGATCGATCCAAACACCGGATTTGGCGGCGCGTACATCGGTCTGTTCGAATCGCTCTCCGATAGCCGCGAGATTCAGATGCTGCTGATGTTGCTCGTGTTCGCCATCGTGCACAGCGGAGGCGCGGCGCTTCGGCCGGCGGCGGAGCGCGTGATCGGCGAGCGCGCTTATCGCGTGCTGTTCGCGGGGATCTCGCTGCCGCTCGCCGTCTCTGCCGTGGTACGTCTCAGGTCACTAAAATTCACAATCTGTTCATTGATGTAACTCGTGAAACACTTTGTTCATTGATGTAACTCATGAAACACTTTGTTCATTGATGTGATTTCTCTAAAGAATGTAACTTTTCAACCGACTGACGAATGTGACTATAGGGTCAAGAACGAATTTCGACTCACTGTTCTCTCTCCCTCATTCACTCTCCCTTCACTCTCTTCCTCCCCTCCTCTTCCCCACCCCCTCCCCCCATCTCTCTACTCACTCACTCTCATCTCTCACCCAACCCCCTGCCCCCCAGTCATCAGGTGTTCCTTATCAACCGCTACGACGGCTTGCCATTGTGGCAGCTGCGGAGCATACGCGAGCTCGAGTGGGGGATTCCCCCTTTCCATTGCCTTCCTGTCCTTCTACTTCCCCCTCCCCTCCCACCCACCCACGAGCTCGAGTGGACGCTCGCCTTCCCCCCGTCACTCCCACCCATCCAACCCCCCATTCCCAAATTATCAACTATCGCAGCGTGCCAGGCGGCGTGCCAGGCAGCGTGCCAGGCGGCGTGCCAGGCAGCGTGCCAGGCGGCGTGCCAGGCGGCGTGCCAGGCGGCGTGCCAGGCGGCGTGCCAGGCGGCGTGCCAGGCGGCGTGCCAGGCGGCGTGCCAGGCGGCGTGCCAGACAGCGTGCCAGGCGGCGTGCCAGGCAGCGTGCCAGGCGGCGTGCCAGGCAGCGTGCCAGGCGGCGTGCCAGGCAGCGTGCCAGTGTGCTCTTTACCAACCATCGCTACAAGGGTTTCCCCCTTGTGGCAATTACGCGGCGTGCCAGGCATGCACGAGCTCGTGTAGGCGCTCGCCTTCGTCGACTTCTTCTTCCTCTACCCCTCCACCTTCCCATCTCTCCCACACATAATCGTCCCCAATTCGCGCATCCACCCACCCACCCTACCCCCCATCAGGTCTTCTTTATCAACCATCGGTACGACGGCTTCTCCTTGTGGCAACTACGCGGCGTGCCAGGCATGCACGAGTTTGTGTGGGCGCTCGCCTTCGTCTCCTTCTTCTTCCTCTACCCCTCCACATTCAACCTGCTCGAGGTGGCAGCGGTTGATAAACCCAAGCTGCACATGTGGGAAACAGGCATCATGAGAATCACACGGCATCCCCAGGTACTGTGTTGTGCTGTGCGGTATAGTGCGGTGTGGTATGGTCCCTCCCCTCCCTCCTTCCTTCTTCTTCCTCTACCCCTCCACATTCAACCTGCTCGAGGTGGCAGCGGTTGATAAGCCCAAGCTGCACATGTGGGAGACAGGCATCATGAGAATCACACGGCATCCCCAGGTACTGTGTTGTGCTGTGCGGTATAGTGCGGTGTGGTATGGTCCCTCCCCTCCCTCCTTCCTTCTTCTTCCTCTACCCCTCCACCTTCAACCTGCTCGAGGTGGCAGCGGTTGATAAGCCCAAGCTGCACATGTGGGAGACAGGCATCATGAGAATCACACGGCATCCCCAGGTACTGTGTTGTGCTGTGCGGTATAGTGCGGTGTGGTATGGTCCCTCCCCTCCCTCCTTCCTTCTTCTTCCTCTACCCCTCCACATTCAACCTGCTCGAGGTGGCAGCGGTTGATAAGCCCAAGCTGCACATGTGGGAGACAGGCATCATGAGAATCACACGGCATCCCCAGGTACTGTGTTGTGCTGTGCGGTATAGTGCGGTGTGGTATGGTCCCTCCCCTCCCTCCTTCCTTCTTCTTCCTCTACCCCTCCACATTCAACCTGCTCGAGGTGGCAGCGGTTGATAAGCCCAAGCTGCACATGTGGGAGACAGGCATCATGAGAATCACACGGCATCCCCAGGTACTGTGTTGTGCTGTGCGGTATAGTGCGGTGTGGTATGGTCCCTCCCCTCCCTCCTTCCTTCTTCTTCCTCTACCCCTCCACCTTCAACCTGCTTGAAGTGGCAGCGGTTGATAAGCCCAAGCTGCACATGTGGGAAACAGGGATTATGCGGATTACACGGCACGGCATCCCCAGGTGCGTTGTAATGCGCTGGAGTGTGGTGCAGTGTGGTATGGTATGGTATGGATCTCCCTTTCTTCTTCTTCCTCTACCCCTCCACATTCAACTTGCTTGAGGTGGCAGCGGTCGACAAACCCAAGCTGCACATGTGGGGAGACGGGGCAGCATGAGGATCACTAGACATCCCCAGGTGCGGTTTGGTTTAGTGCGGTACAGTGCGGTGCGGTGTGGTGTGGGAGACGGGCATCATGCGCATCACAGATGATCACCACCATCAGATGGTAGGTCAGCTGCTCTGGTGCGTTGCGCACATGCTCTGGATCGGATCTTCCTTCTCACTGCTCTCTCACTCTCCTCCTCTCTTTTGTTCACTCCACCTTATTCTCCCTTGTTCTCTCAGATGGTAGGTCAGCTGCTCTGGTGTTTGGCGCACATGCTCTTCCTTCATGGCTGTCACCTCCCTCTTTCCCTCCTCTATCTCTTCTTCCCTTGTTCACCCTTCTTCTCTCTGGCTCAGATGGTAGGTCAGCTGCTCTGGTGCGTTGCGCACATGCTCTGGATAGGCGCCTTCTTCACTGCTCTTTTCCAAATCCCTTTCCTCGTGTTTTCTGTTCCCATCACTCCCCATCTTGTTCCCCATCACCACCATCAGATGGTAGGTCAGCTGCTCTGGTGCATTGCTCACATGCTCTGGATCGGATCTTCCTTCACAGCAGTCACCTCCCTCGGCCTGTGCCTGCACCACCTGTTTGGCGTCTGGCACGGGGACCAGCGACTGGAGAAGAAGTATGGAGAGGCATTTGAAGAGGTGAGCTGTGAACGAAGGGGTACGTCTAGGTGAGACTGGGTGCGTTCAGGTGAGTTCAGGTTCGTCTCTGTGGGTTGAAGGCAGGTGGTTCCCTTCACAGCAGTCACGTCCCTTGGCCTGTGCCTGCACCACGTGTTTGGCGTGTGGCACGGGGACCAGCGACTGGAGAAGAAGTATGGAGAGGCGTTTGAAGAGGTGCGTGGGGGCGAGTCTAGGTGTGTCTGCGTGCGTCTGGGCCTGTGTGGCTCACATGCTTGTGCCTGCACCACCTGCACCACATGCACCACCTGCACCACCTGCACCACCTGCACCACCTGCACCACCTGCACCACCTGCACCACCTGCACCACCTGCACCACCTGCACCACCTGCACCACCTGCACCACCTGCACCACCTGCACCACCTGCACCACCTGCACCACCTGCACCACCTGCACCACCTGCACCACCTGCACCACCTGCACCACCTGCACCACCTGCACCACCTGCACCACCTGCACCACCTGCTCAGCGCCTAGCGAAGAAATACTGAGAGGCCCTATCCAAGAAATGCAGAGAGGCATTCAAAGAGGTGAGCAAAAGGGGAGGGGTAAGTGTGGGTAAGGGGTTTTACTCACCTCCCTCGGCCTGCTGCTGCTGCACCACATGTTTGGTGTCTGGCACGGCGACCAGCGTCAATCCAAGAAATGCAGAGAGGCATTTGAAGTGGTGCGTCCATTCGAGTCTAGGTGGGTTTAGGACAAGTTGTTTCCTGGACGGCAGTCACATTCCTTTTGAGAATTACTTTTGAGAATTTTCAAAAGTGCGTCCATTCGAGTCTAGATGGCTTCAGGACAAGTTGTTTCCTGCACAGCAGTCACATCCCTCGGCCTGCTGCTGCACCTCCTGTTCTGGCACGGAGACCAGCGGCTCGCCACAAGTATGGACAGGATTTCGATGAGGTGATTCTAGGTGCGGGTGATTCTAGGTCCGGGTGATTCTAGGTGCGGGTGATTCTAGGTGCGGATGATTCTAGGTGCGGGTGATTCTAGGTGCGACTAGGTGAGTCCAGGTGCGTCTGGGTGAGTCTAGGTGCGTCTGGGTGAGTCTAGGTGCGTCTACCTGAGTGTCAAAAGGTATAGATTCAAAAGGTATGGAGAATCATTTGACCCGAAATTCTAAGCAGCAGGAGTGTCTGCGCGTGCCGTACCTCCAACCCTGCCATGTTTCCTCAACCTCTCCCTCCCCCCCTCTCTCACCCCCTCCCTCACCACCTACCCAGGTGCGCAAGCGTACGAGCATCGTCCCATTTGCAGCCATTCTTGATGGCAGGCAACAGTTGCCTCATGATTACTACAAGGAGTTTCTGCGCGTGCCGTACCTTGCAATCACAGCCATGACTCTTGGGGCATACTTCTGCCATCCCCTGATGATCCAAGCTAGCTTCTGGCTGCATTGGTAGGGACATGTTGTGAAGGAAACAAACCAGGCTGGTTTCTGCGAGTTGCATGTCCATCGCAGAAGCTACCTTCCGATTTCTACGAGTTTCTGCATGTGCCGCACCTTGCAATCACGGCAGTCACTCTTTGGCACGTACTTCTGCCATCCCCTTAGAATTCAACCGATCTTCTGGCTGAATTGGTGGGGAGGGACATTTATGGTACCGTACTAGTACAGTAAAAGAACCAGGCAGCAACGTGTGCCGTACCTTGCCGTCTAAGCCATGACCCTGGGCATATTCTTGTGCTATCCTCGTTATTCGGGGCAGCTTCTGAAATCATGGGTCCTTGCTGGGACATGTAGAAATTGTCTTCCATAATATTTGCATTTGCATCCTCATAGGTAGGTACACGTGTAAACAAAAGAAACTACCCAACCACAAAATTCTGAAAGCTTGAGTCGAGTATCAACCGTCACTCGTAGTTAGCTTGTACAGATCGCATATCTCATCAATCACGCAGTTTGCAATGTTGGCCATTTCATGCTGACCTGAGCACCAAATTTCAGTTATTTCATTCAAAAATGTAACCGTATAAAGTCAGACAGTGCATGATCTTGGTAAACTGTAAATCAAACACTATAAAAGAATTCGTTCATAAGGCAGACAGGAGAATGGTCGACAAGGAAATCATGCCCCAGATCTTCACACGTGTAATATCCTCTTTTTATAGGATAACATGCTCCCCCCTGCTTTGCTTGATTTGCATTGCACTGGAGCATGCATGTGTCGAATGAACAGCGAGACTAGCTGCAAACAAACGATAATTCTACGTGTTAAACGGCTACGTGATTTGCTCGCGCCTGTGATTTTTTCTGGGCCGCTCAGCGTAAGCCAACCAAGCTTCTTCCGTATCATCACAGGCAGCACAAGTGGCTGCTTCTAGAATATATAACTGACGGGCAGAACGACGAACAAGAGACAGGTGTAACAAAAGCCAAAACTACCAAATAACAACCACTTTCCTATGGTGGAGGTGATCACTACCTTCACTAGAATTAGGGCAGGATGCATTTTACATTCGCCGGTCAACGAACACGAAACAGCGAATGCGTCGATACATCCCGCTCGCTGATGTATCTCGGTGATTAAATGCACGGCGAAGGACAACCATTCTTGATGCTGTAGGCATTTATGTCAAATGGGCTCGCTGTAAATAGTGAGTCACCTTACGTGGTTTATGAGGCTGCAGCATTTTAATTGCTCCGAGCTTCGTGGACCATCGTTCGTTGTGCTGGCAAATCAAGGCAACACTAATCAAGTCGATTTTGCGAGCAGGGGCGGCCATTGTTGCTAGGTGAACCTGCTTGGAAGTTCCATACGGGAACTGCAGCTTGCGGTGCGCATGAGAAAATATCGGCCAAGGTTGACGGAATCTCGAAGACAGTGCAAGACCTAACTAACAGGGCTAATAGCTCTGAGTTAATGACACACTACGCTACTAGAATCTTTACCTCGTTTATTGTAGTCCATTTCGAAATTGTATTGTCTGTCGCTCAGGGAAACCTGCTGCTCTCACCCAATCTGATTGCAAAAGTATCAAGTCACCTAAGTTAGGCTATGGTTCACATAATCACTCAAACTTTGGGGTAGTCACGGCATGACTTCACTGACGGATTCTTTTAGATAATCACGAAGGAACATGCAGGAACAGACACGTAAAGCCGTCATCGTATCCACATTCGTGATGATACGAATGGAATGGCGCCAACACCGAGTGGGACACTGGATTTGCAGTCCAATGTCATGCTGATGTGTACCACGCATTAACCATCGCAGAATATGGCGGGAAACGAGATACCTCGCTGGCACGTGACGGCCAGCGCCATTGAGCTTCCACTTCGCGGCAACCTATGAGCACCAATCACAAGCGACAGCTGTTCAGGAAATGACAGCACTCGCTCGACGTGGGTGTTTTGTGGTTGAGAGCAATCCGCATGACAGGTTGCAAGCAGCGCAGCAGCAGACGAAATTATCCATTCCCATTCCACCCTGTCAAGGTGCCCCTTCCTGTGTGCCAAACCTAGCGGGAAACCCCCTCATCCCATCTATAGTGTACATTTCCTCCTCACTTGGCAATCACTCCTCTACCTGTTCACCCGTCCCTCCATCTCCCACCCCCGTCGCCACCTGTTGTCTGTCCGACTGCCTTCGCCACTCCAACAAGGATAAGACCAATCTTTCTCGCTCAAGCTGTTCTCTGCTCAGCTGGTTGCCTCCAAATCTGCTCTGGAGTACCACTAGAGTCCCTGGGACTTCTAACTCCAGGCTCAGCCTTTACGCGAGTTATTAAAATACTTAAATCTCTATTATTCGTCGTTAGACTGTCGCCAGACTCGACGACACTATGGCTGCCACTCGTCCATCAGACGCTGTTCGCAGCTGCTATCCGCCTTTCGCCCGGAAGGACTCTCGCTGCCCTTCCAGCAACGCTAGCGCCTCCCACCAGCCTCACCACCAGTTGCGGAAGGCTATGGAGTCACGATTGGCAGCGTCGTCGGGGGCAGTCTCGTCGAAGGCAGCGCTCGCCTCGAGCTCCCAGGCGTCGTCTGCCCCGTCGTCGGCTCCGCGTGTGATTCCGAAATCTCGCAGCAGCGGGGCGCTTCTCGCCTCTGTATCCATCCCTTATAAAACAAGAGCTCCATCCCCCCTCGCTCCTCCTGCCGAATCATCCGCCGCCGCCTCGTCGTCCTTGTCTGGTAACCAGACGGTTGCGACGGACCCTTTTTCGCGTCTGCCGGACGACGTGGTTATTGACATTCTTTCGCATCTGGGCGGCGGTGCGCCCGACGTGCTAGCAGCGTCGATGACGTGTCGCCGCTTTCAGTCGCTCACCCGCTCCATCCCCGTCTTGCGATTCGTCCCGCGCGACTCAAGCCGGGCGGGCGGAAGCGACTGCGCCTCCACGCTCCCCGCATGTTCCGCCATCCAACGCGAGGAGCTTGTATCGCGTATGGTGCTAAAATCCACAGGTCTGCAGCAGCTTCAGGTCACGTCCTCCCTCCTCCCCCCGCCCACCGCGACCGCCTTCCCCGCTCGTTCCGCCTCCTCCCCTTGCGACCACAGCGGCGATTGCGCGTGCAGCGGCAGCGCAGAGGCAACCCAGCAGCAGCAGCAACAACAGGAGCAGCACCAGCAGCACCCGCGCGAATTTATTTTCGAGGCGTGGATGCGACACGCGGGCCCGCAGCTGCAGTCGCTCGTGCTCTCCCGGTCCCTCAACGCCGCCGCAAATGGCGGCGGGTCTACGACAATCAACGTCTGGGAGAACGAGGACCTCAGCATGCATCTCGGGCACATTTCCCGCCACTGCAAGTCCCTGCGGTCGCTCACTCTCGGGTCGCTTTCGCTCGCAGCGCCCGCGCTCGAGTCGTGCCTCCGTCCCATGCCCAACTTGCAGGATTTGTCGCTTTCCTGGATCCATCTGACCAATGAGTGCCTCCAGATGATTCTTGACGCGACTCCGAATCTCCGCCGGTTGACGATATTTATGGCGACGGGCTGCCCGCAGATTTCTCTTCGTCTGCCCGCTTCGTTGGAGCACGTCGACTTCGCATACCTGCGCGCCGAGTCGTGCTCGTTCGTCTCCGCCGCCTCGCTGAGATCCGTGTCCATTCGCGACATGTTCGTGCGGTCGGTTACCATTCGCCAAGCCCCTCGCCTGCGCTATTTCGCCATCGCCAGCGCCAGCCTCCTGGAGGTGTCCGCACCCGAGTCGTGCGAAATTACCAACCTCGATTTGAAAGCGGGCTCCTTCTGCTGGTCTTCGCTACAATCACTCCTTCGCGGATGCGGCACGACTCTTAACTCTCTCGCTCTCGATTTCTTCACCGCGGGATCCGGAGCTGTCTCGTCGGGAATCTTCTCCCTCTTCTGGCTCGCCGCCATGTGCCCCGCGCTTCGCGCCTTGAATCTCGGCTCGCTGCCGTGGCAGCTCGTCCTCTCCTGGGCGACGACCTCCGGCGCGCTTCAGCCGGCGGGACCCGCGGCGGGATCTGCGGCGCGGTGGCCGCAGCTGGAGGAGCTGAAGCTCAAGGTTCAGGAGCAGAGGCCCGAGGCGCTGCTGCTGCTGCACGCGCTTCTGTCGAATGTCCCTACATTGAAGTCGCTTCAAGTGGCGACTGCAGTGGATGAGGAGGAAGAAGAGGAAGAGGAGGTCGAGGAGGGGGAGGAAGAGGAGGAGGAGGAAGATGAGGAATTCGAGGAGGGGGAGGAGTGTGAGGAGTACGAGGGAGAGGAGGTTGAGGAAGCAGAGGAGTGTGAAGCAGAATACGAAGATGACGTGGACGAGGATGATTTGATGGAAGTGGAGGAGGGTGCGGAGAGCTCAGACGAGTATGACGACGAAGATGAAAGCATGCCAATCAGGTCTGGCGGACCTGCCGTTCAGCGTCACATGAGCCGGCAGGAGCTGTTCCTCAAGGGGCTTGTGTGCCTGCAGCAACGGTTTTCTGACGTTAACGTCTTCCTTCCGTTGCTCGCTCGACGGTCAACCTCGTGAATTGCAAGCAGCCCTTACCATACAGTGTGACCTAGGTTTCTGAAAAAAAAACTTCTATACCTCGCCGTTATAAGGAGATAGGCCATGTTCAATATGTGTTGTACCCTAATTCAGGGATTGGAGGCCAAATTTTCTGTGTACTACGTTCATTAACATTGTCCAGATGCTGAAATGAATACCCACCACAACATCCACCAACCACGTTTTCGTGGTAATGAAAGTGGTAGTCTCCACACTTCCATTTGTTCACACTACACTTCACCCGCCTAAAGCATTCAGCTCAGCGCTGTCTCATCAAGGAGGAATGTAATATCTAACATTCTGGGTGCTGCAAAATGTTCAGTATTGGACACACCAGAGGGGTATGCATATTCACACTTTCCAACCTAACAATCAACTATGATAGTTGAACTATCGCTGGCGTACCCTGGCAGTGTATAATTTCACAGGTTATCCAGGTACAGAAATCCTTTTGTAAGATAAGCATCGCTGTCTCTCCATACCGACCATGAAATTATACCCTGCATATACGATGACCTGGTTAAATAAGAGGGCGCGGACGTGAAATCCATAATGACATACCGTACGTTTTGTATTTAGAGATGATTTTAAAAAATTATGTCAGGCAATTATTGTTTTGATATTTGGTGGGTCTGATTTATCTGCTGCCAATATGCTAAATTCATGACCAGTAAACCAGAAAGGTTTTATTCATCATGCAAGGGAACGCTCAGATAAGAATGTGGGATCAGTAGCATACCCGCTAGTAGTGTTTCTCCAGCAAGTGTGGCAACAATATCCCCGAGGCGCAGGTCTTTGGTGAGTGGCGTTCTTGCCAGCAAGCCTTCAGAATTTCACCTGCGGCGTTCGCATCGTTTCCAGGGGACAGTTCAGGACCCCGCTCACCTCGAAGTCGCGCAGCTTGTCCTCAGCGAACTCCATTCGTACGGTAACCACTTTAGTTCTAGGACGTGTGCGAACAGGCCCGAGGTCCTTCCTACTCGCTCTGGATGGCTGGAAGGACGAAGAGGGTACTCAACCTCTGGATTATTTCTTCTCACCGCTCTGTCCACTACTTCCCAAGCCCTGCTCGCTCAGTTTTCATTCTAAGCCCTGCACGCTCAGTCAATAAACCTATCAAGACTTGCGTGGGGAGTGTTCGACACTGGAAGTTCACCTACCTGCTTGAAAGGTACTCAGAAAAGTAAATCGCTCCAAACAGCTACTTGGCTAAATCTATTATCAGACTACCAACATGAAATTAAAGAATATTTTACGCTTCTTAACGAGGATCTACAATACATTCCCAATAAATACTTCCCAGCCCATAGTACCCCGAATCACAACAATGTTTCAGAAGAGAAGGATAAAAGATGGTGTACACTGCAGATCTGCTTATTAAGCAGACGGATACAAGCACTGAAGAGAGCAAGCCGATTCATAGAAGCTGCAGCAACCGTAATGGTACAAGCCCAGGCCGTTCCATGGACACAATACATTTGGGTCCGCCCAAACGCGCAGAGATATTTAACACCACATATAATATCACCAGAGAAGAATTATCCGCTGCTGCCGAACGCCACAAGTTAAGCGCGCTTAGGGCTTGCCTTTCCCACCAGCAGCACCACCACCAGTGCCAGGGACGACACCGCCAGAACCACCCGCAGGGGGGACGACACCACCGTTGCCGGCACCGCCTTTGCCAGGTGAGGAAATCACCCCGCCGTAGTTGCACACGCCCGCAGCGCAGGTGCCTGGGCATCTGGCGCCGCAGGCGCCGCAGTGGGCGTTGTTGGTGTTGGGGTTGATGCAGGTGCCGTTGCAGCAGATTTGGGTGAGGTCGCAGAAGTTGGAGCACACGCCACAGTTGTTGATGTCGGTCAAAATGTCCACGCAGAGTCTATGGGAAACCACGAGTGGAATGTAGAAAACGAAATACACGAGAAGAAAATAAATTAGAACACGCGCGAAATCGGGGCAAGACACACAGAGCAAAACGGCGTGAAAGGGCAGGAAGGAAATGAGTAAGGAAATGAGAGTGATGGGACGCAGTAAGATCGAGGTGCAGAGAGGTCGAGAGAGGTGAGAAACTCACGATCCGCAGAGTGTTTGGTTGACGCAGGTGGGAAGCTCTGTCAGCTTGCGCCACCTCAGTCGGTGCGCGCTGCCGCTGCGGACGGAGTTGCGCACCGCGTATTTCTGCGCGTTGGAAGGCGGGGTAAGGAGACGGATGGAATGCGATAGGATGAAGAAAGAAAACAAGAGGAACGCAAGCTTCTAAGAAGAGGTCGAACGGTAGAGCGAGAGTCGAGCATGTTGCATATTTACGCAGCTTGCGAGGCGACCACTACTTCAGGCCGACAACCAGTGAGGAGGCTAACACGACGCCAATCCCGGCTGCAGAGGCTCCATCCTAGACTAGATCAAAGGTCCCCTAATAGCGAGGAAGATCTCGGGGTAGCTACTTGAACAGAGAGAAGTATCGATTAATGATGGTTACGAATGATTCCAGAGAGGATTAAACTAAGCGCTAAGAAACGGATAGGCATCGCGCCGTTCCAGGTGTAAGGAGAAGGCTAAGCACCTCGAAATTGCTGCTTGATGCTTGCGCGGCATGAGCCAGCGCAAGGCACAGCAGTATGGTGATCAACACTTGAGTCTTCATGGTGACTAGCTTGTTCCAATAATCTGCTGAGGCTGGAGCCTCTAAGAAATCAGCTACGCCGTTCTTAGCTCTATGTCCGGCTGCTGTGATGCTTGAAGCTTGCTGCTTGCAGGATCTGGTGAAATGGCTCCAGGCTAAGTCAACCTGGAAGAATGGGGGGATTGCTTTCTCTACTGTCAGATAGCCAGAGAGTTTTGCTGCGGAGTCTTGCAAGATGGTTGAAGCAGAAAGCGGGTTTCGTGAATACTTGATCGCACAAGCCCCTGAGCATTACCTGCGGGTGACCTCATACCAGCAGGTGTAAGGGACACATGTGGTCTGCGAAATTACTGTTCCTCTACCTGCTCCCATCCCGATTGGCGGGGCGCCGCGAGTGGAGGAACAGGCATCTGGGGAGAAGCCCCTGGCAACAGAGAGCTTTGTGTGCGACGCAGCGCACACTCAGCTGAAATCTTGCGCGCGGCGCAGAGCATAACGCTGGGTGTGTGCGACAGTTTCGCCACAGTAGCTGGACGGCTGTGCTGCTCAAGCGAGAGGTACACTCGCACGCATTCAGGTATCAACTATGCAGGCGGAACTGGCAACCATGAATGTACTTGACATGCAACTTCGAACTCTACTGCCCCGTTGCGACTTTTGCATTGCGAATGAAAATTTGGCGTTTCGCTGGAAACGATGGAAAAGGTGATCCATACTGAGTACCGGAAAAAGTTTTATGTCAGCCCACAAATTTGCATAAAATGTCGTTCTCGTTTCATGAGGTGGCAGGTACACAAACCACCACTTCAGGTGCACGCAGGAAGACAACGTATCGCAGGTGAATTTCCAAGTCAGGCGTGTTGAACTGTTTTCATGGTCTTCCGAGAAAAGTGGCGAGCGACTACTTTCAAGCGCACGAAATCTGGAACCCCAAGTTGGACGGCGAGCGTTGAACTGCAGAGTCTACGACGCACTGGATTCGAGCATCCGATTCGTCAGAGAGCTGGCGACGTTCTAACGGTCGCCGTCCACAGAAATGTCACCAAATAGTAACACTTCCAGTACTATTTATAGTTAATATAACTTTGTAAACAAACGTAATAACACACCAAGGCTGAAACATAATGTTGTAAGCATTGAAAGATACACAAGAGTATATTTAAAATAGAAAGAAGTTTTACATCATTATGTTTCCATGCGTTAGAGTATTCGGTGCCGTCAATTAGAAAATGCCAGATCACCTATATTTATTTTGCAAGAATAATGCAACTGGTCTTGCAGAGGAGAAGGACGACCTGCATGTTGACATGTTCCTATCCCTCAAATCAAACAAACCTCATATCATACTCGCCCGTGAAAGAAAGTGTTACGATATGAAGTTTTATGAGAAGGCATTCCTGTATGCTGCAGGAGCCGACTCTACCGAGTACGAAGTCGAGGAGTCAGAAGAGTCGAAGCGACACAGCAACCGTACGGTCAAGACCGATGCAGGCAGAAACATTTGAAGTGAAAAGAGCGGGAACAGGTTTGAAACTGATTCCCGCGCCGCACGGTTTGAATTTCGCTGCAATAAGGGAATGTACCCCTTAGAGTATATGGCTAGTCTAGGTCGTTTCGCATTCCTTTGTATTTCTTAATAAATCCTATGTATGCATGCTATAATCAATCTCAGTCATTTACATTCACTCTGACCTGAGTTCACTACTTCCGCTGCGACACTACCTGCGATCAACCCTGAACGATCCTTTCTTTGCTAAGTGACATTTCAGATTGTAACATGGTATGAGAGCTGCTCAGGGATTCTTCGCAACGTCACTTCCGTAAAATTCGCCAAACCAAGATCTGGCGAGCGGCACACGATCCAAGACCAAGATGGCCGGAGGATCCGGAGGCCAAACGAATCTAACGGCCGAAGGACAAACCAACCCGGCTGCGACAAATGAGGCGACAACTACGATCGGCACTGCCGCGCTCGAGCAGTTATTCGCTCGACTGTCAACAATGGAGAAAGAACTCCAAGAACTGCGCAAAGGCGATGCGGGAACCACTTCCCAACCAGTTCAACCTGGACAACCGGCTGCGAAAAGCCGCGATACCGCCGCGCACGGCTTCTCCCTCGACTCAGACAAATCTGCAACAACTGCCCCTCGTCCAAGCGACGAAACCATCAACTCTGCGCAAGCACGCTTTCTCAGCGTGTCAAAATCAAGACTACTGCCGCGTTTGACGACAATGACTTTTATACATGGAGTTTTGAGCTTGAGCTCCTCCTACAGACAGCGCAGATCTACCACTACTTCGACGGCTCCTATCCTAAACCGGTGGAAGACACCGAAGACGCCCGCGCTCAATACTACAGTGAGTCGCTTATGGCGTATAGCGTCCTGCTGCGCAACATGTCGCCTGCAGAACAGCTCGGCATCCGCTCCTACAAAGAGAGCGCCGCTCCGGCTCTTGAAGCTTGGAAGCACCTCGTGGAGGTATATCAGCCGAAGGATTCCGTCACTGCAAGCCGTCTCCTGCAACAACTCATGGAGACGAAGATGGGGCACGGGGAGAAAGCAAACAGTTACATCAACCGTTGTCGGAACATCCGTGATCAAATCATCAAGAACGGAAGTTCTATCTCGGAGGAGATATTCGTCAACATCATCCTCCAGGGACTTGGGCCCGAGTGGAAGCCCTGCAAGGCGCTACTCCGACAACGAGGACAGCTCTCCGAAGCCGCGCTATGCGCCGCCCTGCTGACTGAGCAGCAGGACATGGACTCGAGCAGAACGAGCTCCGCGTCACGCCGAGAGCGACTCGCCTTCTACACAGACAACCGTGAAGAGCGACGACAACCAAGGCGCCATTACTGCAAAATTTGCAAAGCCTTCGGGCATTCAACGGATCGATGCAAATCCCGATCCAACTATCGGCACCCGAATTCCACTCACCACAACAACTGGGTCAGCCGACAAGACACCCGTCATTCTCAACCCCAACAACCAACCTCTCGTCCTCCTGCACAACAACAACCACAGCAGGCACAAGGATCTCAAGAAGGAGCTCCCAGGAACATGGCGACGCGACGCCACCGCACTGCTGAGCCAGACGAAGAAGACGAACTTCAAGGAGTACTGCCGCAACCAGAAGAAGGGTGGAACAATCATCTCACGGAAGACCACTATTATCTGTATGACGAAGACGAGCAGGACTGGAATCAGCCAATCACACTGCGGGAAAGCCCGCCACACGACAACCAACGCTTCGTACCTGTCGGATGGAAGGAAGACGAAGACCCATCCTTCCACAGGCGCTACAAGGCAACGCTCGTGACACCGCGACTCGCGCTGCTGCTCCGCAATAACATCCAAGACAACCACAACACCTGGTACCTGGACAGCTGCTGCGGACAGCACATGGTGGGCTCGACCCGCTATGTATCGAACCTCAACCGCGCCCCCGCAACCTTTGTCACCGTCGCTAATAGTCACCAACTGCGCGCCAACTCCCAAGGCATTGTCGTCCTGCAAGCACGAGACAGCAACACCCACATCTCGTTCAACGACGTGCTCTACGTCCCATATCTACGCTTTAATCTGCTCTCGGCAGGACAAATTCGCGACTGCGGCGTCATACTCACCACGGATCTAGACACGTGCGACCTCATCCTCACGTACGCCCCTCCAGACACACCTCCCGAGTCGTTCAAATACCTCGGTCGAGCCCGCTCCATAAACGGGATCTACGTTCTGGACTTCGACGTACCAAGCTGTGAAGCCTCGTCGGATGAGCTCGTGGACCTGGTCCCCCTCGAATTCGCCTTCATGAACGAAGAATCGTGGCAACACCCCGATGGGCGACCATGGATCCGCCGCAGCCCACATCCGCGCGAAATCAATCTGCATAACCCCGACATCAACGGACTCTGCACCACCTGCCACACACCCGCGGCAAGCCGTACAGAGCAAGTCGAGAGGCGGTACGCTGCGATCCAGGAGGCGGAAAGTGCTGAACAAGAACCCACTGGCATGACCGAGGAAGAACTCGTAGTATCAACTTACCATATCTTCGGAGAAGAAAATGAGCAGTTCGGTCATCTGCCTGATCCACGCCCCACACCACGCTCCGACACCCTCCGTTTCTTCCTCGAGGCTAACGCCACCACCATGGACGAGGAAGGCCGCCCGCGCCCATATACCCGCGAAGTCTACCGCCGCGAAATTGACCCGGCCTGGAAAGACCCTGACGAAGCAGACGAGTTAAGCGTCAAGGAGGAACAAGACAAGGCAAGGGCAGAGAAGAAACAAAAGCTGTACGAAAAAACGCATCGCAGCAGGATGGAGCGAGGAGTCTGCACGACGAGGTGGATGGGTAGATGATGACTACAAACCCGAGGACGGAGCTACATGGGCATCAGCCACTGGAGCATGGGGAGCCAGCGGCAGCGGCATGGTAACCACCGGAGGCTGGGGCACGGAAGAAACAACTGAAACGAACCTAACACAAGAGGAGCTGGAGGAAACAGAACGGGAAATGCGCGGCGAACGCGGGGAAGCATCCCCCCGCGTCGCCATACCCCTCGGACGACCACCACCTGCACTCTCCCCCCCCCCGTTCACCATGGCGCTGGGACAGTACCTGGACGGAGCTTGAGGAGGGGAACGTACCTCCAACACCAGTCCGAGACTCCATTGGTCCAATCTCCCGTCCAGATCCATTCGCCCGCTTCATCGAAAGCACAACCACGCCGCTCACCATCATCCCCGACCGCGAATTTCTCGCCCTCTACCTTTCGACCGCACCTGCTGAAGGGGAGACAACTGCAGCAGAAGGAGCAGAACAAGGAGCAGAAGAAGCAGAACCAGGAGAAGAGGAGGAACCACCGCTCCAGATCCCACAAGAAACTGAGGAAGAAGCAGCGGAGCATCGCACACGCTACATGCGCAGCAGCGGCATTCGCGCCGAAGACGACCTCTGTCATCAGCGATTCGGGCATCCCTCACGCCAGACCCTCGCCCATGGCCTCCGCGCCAAGGTCTTTCTTCCTGGAGCACTCCTCCGCCCCGACGGCACCGAACCTCACACCATCACACACCCACTCACCTGCACCGTCTGCCCCACTGCAGCCCTCACCCACAGTGCATATCCCTCGCTAGAACCAAGCACCAACCGCTACAAGAAACTACAGAAAGTGTACAGCGACTTCATAGTGCTCACCTGTGAGGGACTCAACGGCGAAAAATACACGCTGACCTTCATCGACGCCTACTCACGCCACGTCTGGATCGCCAACGTCGACGCACGGTCCAAGGCTCCAGAAGTCTTCCGGATCTGGCTTGCACACGCACAGCGACAGTCAGGGAGGAAGCTGAAAATCTGGCAGAGTGATGGCGCCAAGGAGTTCCGCAGCAACGATCTGGAGAGCGTTCTCACCGAGAAAGGAATCAAGCATGAGATCTCTCTCCCCTACGCTCATCAGCAGCAAGGAGTCGCAGAGAGGGTGAAC